TTTTCCACTTAGTTATTTTCTTTCCTCTTTTTTTCTTCTCTCTCTATCCCAAGAGGGACACTTCTGTAACACTTGAGCCGTGGATGTACATAGACATGCCAAAGAGAAACAGAAATGTTTGGCCTTGGATCAAGTCCTTCATGTAAAGGCATGTGTTAAAATCTGTGGTGACCTCCAGCTACTTCCAGCAGCTTCCCCAATCTTGGCACCATTTTCTGCCTTGGTGCAACTTTTATGTCCACTCTTGTTACTGTCTGCAGCCCCTCTGGTTGTCCCTTCTGTAACTGAGACCTTCCATGGTAGACACCATCCTTGCTTGTTTCCCCACAACCACGTGAGCACCTCAGCCTTGAGGAAGACCCATGCTCTACTGTGTAGCACTGCTAATTGCAACAAAATGTGCATGTAGGTTAAAGGTCTCATTTGTCTTTCTTTATGCAAGTTTTTCATACTTTTGCAAGGTGCTAAGTAATGCTTTGCAGGTAAGAGCAGCAGCATGGTACCCCCAGGGCAGGGGAATGGGAAAGAGCTGTAATTATTTGCTGCAAGAGTTTGGTCAAGCCAAGGAACAGTCAACTACCTTGAACTGCTGGCAGCGAGTAGGTAGTTGGCTGTTTTCTGGCAAATACTTTTCGTTCTACTTCGAACTCTTCTATATCTCCCTGAGAGATGAAGACAGTGTGAGAAGTAGTGATTGATACAAAAAAATTAGTATTATGTTTTAAGCTGACTTAACACTTGCTAGTGTTTGTCTTCTTTCCTCAGAATGTTCATGCTTGAAGGTGAGATGGAAATAAAGGGGAGTGTGTATGCATGCTAGAGAATTACCTTCAGCTGTTTTGATCCTTGAAGAGTTGCATTTTTAAATTGCATGGTCCTAAAACTGACATATGCTAAAGTATGAAGTGAAATTGCTTGTTCTGGCTCTGCATTTGGACTAGGACTGACAAATCTTGCTGAAGGCACAGAAGAGGGATTTGGTGCCAGTGTGTTCTCTTGTGTACTGTTCAAGTATATTCAACTCAACTTTGAAATTCCTGGGGCAAATCTTGATATGACTTGCTGGGTTGGTAGCTTTTATGGAGCATTTAAAGGCTGCAAGAGCCTTTTCCTTCTCTTCCAGCTCTTTTTTGCTAATCTTTTTGTTTATAATTTTCCTCAATAAAGGAAGAAAAAAGTTGTTTGTACTGTTTTGTTGTAAAGAGTGAGATCATCAGTGAAAAAAAAAAAATTAAAGGAACAGCTTGTTCTTTGTTTTTCTGTGAGGTGCCACCAAGCACCTTTGATTTTTAGCATCATATCAGTGTTAGGAACACAAGGTTTTGGAGTGGGTTCAAACAAACCAGGTTCTCGGACCAAGGAGCTGAACCTTCTCCAAAACTGCTGTGTTGACTAGTGCAGCGTAGTGTTGGGGGAGACCTGCCTTTTGTAGCTCTATCACTTGGTAAGCTTCAAGAAGGGATCCAGGCATCTAGAAAGTTAGAGAAATACAAGTCCACTGTATTCTGCTCTTCTAGCAGCTTATGTGATGGTAAACACGAAGGAAAATTGTCTTCTCTGTGCTCATCAGAAACCTGTTGTTTGCAGGAAAGTGACAACAAATGCTCTCCCTCTTGCACAGAGCATTGGCCCAAGAGGAGCTTTGGTGGCTGAGCACCCAGCCCTTCCCCTGTTTCTACTTGCAGACCTTGGGAGGAGAGCTGCTCTTTGCAAAGGGCCTCGTTGCTGGGTTTTGCAAGGCCATAGTGTAATTTCAAGTAATACTCCTGTCTCCCACCCGTCTCTGACGCCGTGTCTCTGGAGTTGCAGAGAGGAGCTAACAGGGTGCAGCTCGTTAATAAAACATACATTGCTTGATTCTAAACTGCCTTCCCTGTTGCTAAATGTCTCCTGTGTAGCACCTTTGTAGTGGTGGTGTTTGAATGGGGTAACAGTTTTGCACGCACTTTCAGATGAAATGATTTTAAATTAAAAAATCCCAGAGATCCTGGGTGAAAGAAGCCATCCAAGTGCCTTCAGCATTTTTTATTGCAATAGATGCTCCCTTTAGCTCTTGCTTTAATATCAGCATATGAAGTATCTGACTTAATCTCCTGTTCATTCTTATGCAAATTCCTTTCTAAAAAATCTTTTAAAATCTTTAAACTGGTGTGTATACCTAGCTTTAGGCATTGCTGTGCAGGTTTAGCTTCTACTGTAAGAGAATTTTAAATCTGGGGTGAAGTGAGTCTGTAGTTTGTAAAGTACTTGTTTCAATAAGAAATTTAGAGTATAAGAGTCTATCATGATAGAGAGCTACATGCCAAGATTTGAAGCCTCTATTTGCTGGAAAAGTAGATTTCCTCATCAAAATGAAGGTGGAGTAGACCATGTGTAGCAGCCTATGGTGTGTGGTTCATGTG